TTAAAACAATTGGTAAACATGGAAAGATCTTTAATTTGTGTTTAGCATCCTTAACTCATCTCTGGACTGGTAATTACTTAAGACATAGGATTTCAGCTGGACAAACACCAACTTTTTTTTGTGCTACAGATGTTTATTTCAAAAGAAAGAAGCACTATCTGCAATATGCACAATAGCAATGAATACTTCAACAGATGATTTCAGTTTCTTTATATATGTGTAGAGGAATAATATTGTAATTACACAACTGCAACTAATGTGCAAATACATGACAAAACAAAGGCATTTCCATCCTTTGTATCAAAACTCACGTTACAGATTAGGGGCTATAATATGTTGGTTTGCATTTGTCTCTGGACAAGCAGAATCTCATTTTATTGGTGCTGAACTTGGCTGAGACCAATAAAGGAAAACCAATTCTGTCAGCTCAGGGGTACTGCAGCACTGTGTGACTCGTCCCTTCCCATAACACTGGAAGGCTGGTTCTGCTGCAAATGTTGACTTCTGAACAAGAAAAGAAACTGAAGCCTGATCATCTATAGTCATTAAAAATCTCCTTGTGCTATTTGCAGGAGTATGGATTTCAAGTCTTGGGCCAATTCCACTTTGGGTAATTACACTCTGCTTACCTATATATTTTCTCTGCAATTCTAAATGGATACAATATTTTCCAATTAGTGCTTTAAATGGCTCTGCATTGTAATTGTGCACCATTAAAAAGCTGACACGTTCCACCCCAAGAAACGTCTGCATCCTTGCAGCATGCTATGCCTTAAACACAGGGTGTAAGACATTTTGGAGACCTTCTGTGCAAGAGCACACCATTTGATATGGAAGTAAAAATACCTGCAGAAGAATCTCAATCTACTTACTGTATAACGAAAAGCATTATTAAGAAACTTGTATTTAAAACAAGACAATAGTCACTGCTGTCTGTATAGTACCAGGCAAACTGAAACGCTGAGTTTCCAGCTAATGTACTTTTGCAGCTATACAGCTACAAAGTCTACTTGTTTCCCATGTCATCCTTAAAACAAACCTCAGCGACAAGACAAACAAACTGAATGTACAATTCAAGTCTTTGTCTAGTATGGGTATCACCTATGCACGTTGAAAAATTCTTTAGCGTGCACAGCTGCTGCTTTATATCAGCATATAGCATGTTTTTCTGTGTTTAAATAACATGGCAAAAATCTTAAGAGCCACAGATTGAGCTTTTCCAAAACAGTTGCCATGTGACTATTTCATTAAGCAATAAGAGACTCAAAGCAACGCGAATAATTTCATATAGGAAATCACTGCAGTACTGAGATCTTGACTAAATGTAATCAAATACCAAGGTACTCCCTCCATGCAATTCAAACACACAACAGTTGCTGCAGAAGTTACTTGAGAGGATGCATTTTCCCCTGCCTTTGAAGTATTTAATAAAAAAAGCATAAAAATAGCCCCAGTGCACTAACCCTGCCTCTTAAATCTTCTGTGCTTTGCTTGGATAACCGCTGCCAGCTTGGCCAGCTTCTGCAGCAGTTTCTCAAGCCAACAGCACATCAATTTTGCTCAGCTCCAAGTCACAGGGTGTTCACAAACAAAGCACAGGACAGGGATTTGTCTCAGATATACCGAGTCTCAGCAGACAAACGGATGGGAATGATTTTCACATCAATTAGCCAGTGCAGAGAAAGAGGAGAACAAAGCCAAACTGAATAGATGTGCTACAATATTAAGCTATATTTCTAGGCATGTTGTTTGCAGCCGTAATGGCTGTATAGCAACGAGAGCCCCTCCAACTTGTGGCAAGTGTTTTATTACTGGTAATTAAGAAGAGATATATATAGAATGGCTGCATCCCCCCGTGATAGCAAAAACAGTGAATGGAAGGGCCGTTGTTGCAATTAGACAGGTAAACTTCAGATTTGATTTGGAAGTCAATTACTTTCAGAGCTCTGAAACATTTGGGGAAGTTTTTCTAATGGGAGTAAGCCTGTACATCCAAAAGTATGTCGTCCTTCTTCAATCTCATTTTTCCCCCCGTCCTTTCCTTGGCAAGCTGGCACCAATTTGGCACTTGCTGTCTCAAAAGCACGAGGATCTGGGACTAAGCGGGCATCATTTCAGATGCCTTTCATTAAAGTTTTGGCAAGGGCTTAAGTACTACACACAGGTAACATGTTTGTTTACTGGGATTTCTCCAACAATTAAAAAAAACAAAAAATCTCTGTCTACAACCTCCACAGCCCTTGGCACGAATTACAAAAGCAACTCATCTATGCCTTTGAGCAGTTTCTGGTTTGTTAAAAGTTGAAGAAATAATATTCTCAAAAAACGCAGCAAGCAATCCACACTACCAGGATGTGCCAGTGGCAACTTCACAGCCACAGTCCATTTCTTATTTCATTAGTCCTGCTGACATACATAAGAGAAACGGCTTGTTTTAGTCTGTGCTACTTCTAAGTGAATGCAAGCTATTCTGTTGAACTCTGGGCAATTTAGATACAGTAAATGGAAGCTTGTACATGATTACTGTCATTAGATTCTTTGTTTAATTCTAAATTGAAGTTTATTACATCCAAACTGTTAGCAGATATGCTGGCTCGAATGCTGTACATGAAGATCTTTATTTCTTGTGGGGCAAAGACCACTTATGCTTTGAAAGTTGCCGTGTGCATCTGTTTAAACCCCAGAGACTTCTATAGCCCTTTCTTAAATCTTTTTGCTCCGAGTAAGTTGGCTTGTCCCCATTTTACGCTTTTTATTTCAGGTTTGCACAAAATGAGGGGATACAATTAGATACAGTACTAATGCATCTCATAAAAATAAAATCTAAACACCTTACAACCTCAGTCAAGTCTTTATTGTACAAGGAAAGGCTGAGCCTAGCATCTTTGCAGTTAAGTTTGGTGCTTCAGTAGATTTTGTTTCATAACAAGTTAACTCTTTGTATGTATCCCTGCTGCCATTTTAAATTTATATGCATTTAAATCAAAGGATTGACAGTGTGAGTTATGTTCAGAGGGCTAGGAGAGGCATCTTTTGGATATGGCAGGATGCATTTATACAGTAACACTAAAATAGTTAATAAAAATGACAAGATTATGCTTGCATACACTTCACTCTACCAAAGGCTCAGTCTGGGTTATTTCTAGTCTAAAATCGGTTCTAAAACTTCAATCAACCTGCACGATATTGGAAAATAAGCTACCCTCCAGATTGCGAAGAACCTGTTTGGATACTGAACAACACTGGTAATGGTTTCAGCTCTTTAACATAACATTAAATATTTCTTTCAGATTTTTCTTTAAAAAAAAAAGGTTCTTCCCTATTTGAGCATTTGCTGAGGTAAGCCAAAATCACTGAGACTGAAAATTTTATTTATAAGGGAATTTTGCACCAGCGGGAATCTTTCCATGAGCCCTTCACCAATAGGCAGGGCTTTCAGCTCCTAACTGTGCTGAAGCAATTCCATACTCTGCAACAGTCATGTGCATTAGTTCAGAAATAGGTCTTCTCTTACATCAGAGACTCATGGACAATTCCCAAAGAGGATGTCACCTAGCAGTTTTCAGATCTGTCTCTAAACATTAATGTTGTTAGAGCACAAAAATATTTCAGTCCTCTTTCACCAAATGTTTTGATTTTTTAAAAAACCCAAAATTTATTTGGCTGAAAACAAGCACATTTGCTGCTTGAACACAAAGGAAAGTACGAGCTTCTGAACACTGCTAACTATGAAAGAGCATCTTGCCAGTGGAAATGAAGCAATGCTAACATGACGTGATTGCACACTCATTGCAAGCATGTGATCCCAAAAAGGAGCTTTTATTAGTGAAAGGACTCCAGCCATGTTCTGTGGGACTCTCCTGGACATTTACTTCTGTAACCTGTGATCAGCAGAAGGAAGGATGGAGCTCGGTAATGGTAGCAACTGTGTGGCACATGACAGTTTCAGTTCATTGAATTTATGATGTGAAATTCCAACCCTGATCGTGAACACCCTCCCTCCTCTCCTCTGAAAATTAATTCACATGAATTCCTGATTAATAATAAAAGGCCGTGCCATCAGCATTCAGAGCCCCAGCCGGGGCTGTCATGGCTCAGAGGGCAGAAATCTGCTTAGAGCTACAGGAGAACCCAACTGAATTTGTGGCGTCTCAGTCTATGAATGTGTAAGCACTTCATCTGTTCACCAAAAATACAATGTGCTGGAAAGCAGCAGGCAAAAGTAGCTGTACATACGATGGACCACGAGCAGGGCTAGGTGGCAGCATGCAAGCATTGAAACCAAAGCGATAAAGCTGGTACCTCTACATTTGCTGAAGGATGAACAGGAAACTCTCCACACCAGGTGTTTACTTTTACCAAGAGAAGGATCAAGCCAATTCACGATTCTAGACACTTATCTTTTTCTTGAGTTTTCCGACAATGCCTGTATTATCTCTCTATGGGGAAAATGGTGTTTTGGGTTTGATGAGCAGAGAAAGACTGGATTATGTCACTGCTTTTGTGAAGCTGGAAAGCAAGCGTCACTCATTTGACCTCCACTTGGGAATGATGAAAAGCTGATGGCATGGCAGAAATCCTACTTCAACCATGAACAGAGTTCATTGGTCAAAAAAGCCATTTCCCTCATTTCCTACTTCTATTTGACCACATTTAGTGTACCAGTTGGGGAAGGGGGGGGAGGGGGGTATACAGAAGATCTTATTCTGCAAGTGCCTGCTGGCCTTGTTAAAAATAATATAGAAAGTAAATTTCTGATATGCTACAGCATCACAATTAGTACATCCACACTACTAGAAATCCAGTGGAAAGCTATTTTCAAATAGATTATCCCTGCCTCAATGACCAAGCGTTTGTCCAACTGTTGTAGCACCTTGTTACAACAATCCTAACCAGGGAATTTTGAAAAGGAGTGGCACTGAATTAATACACAAAACAGTTAAAAGATTGATGGTCTTTATCTTTTTCTCCATACCTCCTCATCTGTGACATTCACATCCACTTTTTTTGATCGAATGGCTTTGGTTACATAGTCAATGTTGTTTTCTCTGCAGTAATCAAAAATGTTCTTGTCCTCTTCCCTATTCAGGAAACAAAAGCAAAAGAAGCACCGTGTTACTGCACAACACAAAGACCACATGCACATCATATGCTCCAACTTTGCTACAGACATTTCAGTAGTATCACTGGACTGAAACAGATGCCCAGTATTGCAGTCATGTGATAATGTTTTTTTTTTTTTTTTCCCAAGGTAAGAGACAAAGGTCCTTCTTCCTAGAAAACAAAGGTTGTTTTAAACAATATTGTGCCAGGACAAAAGTCAGTTTACTCCTGTGAACTGGCACAAGAAATCTATAAAGTTAGCCAGCAAAAACCATGTTCAAGTCCTGGTATAAATCACTGCAATCCCACAGAAGACAAAAAGCTAAAGCTGCTCTTGTCCCTGCCATACATACTTATAAGAGCCACTCCGGGTCAGACCAAAGACCCTTCTGACGCCATCCACCTCAGACAGTGGCCACTAATGGTGGCTTGGAGAAAAAAGCAGAAGAAAGAGGACACGTGCAAAGTAATCTGTCCCTGGTTAGATCCTCCCAGCTTCAGAAACTCAGTGGCTTAAGGATTTCTGTAGTTAGAGGCTGCATCCAGATAAGCGTAATTATCAGCCTTTTCCAGGTCCTTTTTCCACTCTATTCTGCTCTTTAGCCCATTCATACTCTTGGCCTCTCTAAAGGACAAGCTCTACAACTCAGTGTTTTGTGTGCGAAGGGGTTAACAGTGGGCAAGTACTTTCTTTTGGTAACTGCTATTATTGGGTACTCTTTGGTAAGTAATTGTCCAGGGATTTGTGAAGTCTTTGGTGTTGGTCTTGGAATCTGACCACAGGGCTTGTTTTTTGTTTTTTTTATTATTTTTTATTTACCAGCCTGCAAGTGACCTAAATTGCACTCCTACTTTTTGTGTTGACACTGTTAAGACAAAGCTTGACCGTGATCTCTGCTCAGGGCAGCAGGCTGGCATATGCAGAGGCACCAGCACGTTTCTGTGCCAGGACGTCAGCGCGTGCTCGCTCAGGCTTGCTTGCAGGCAGGAAGATCAAATTGTGGTGTCAGAAGTGCTTGAGTTACACCTATGGCTTCTTCTAGAGCTAAAAGCAATACCCTGGCTTCAGACACAGTAAAAACTTCTGTTCTTACCAGCTATCTAAACAGAACCTCTAATGAAGTTAAGACCTTTCACGGATTCTTAAGACATTACAAAAGAGCTTTCTGTGAGTGACTGGAGCTGCAGTGCTTTGTGGCAGTTAGAAAAGCAAATGTTCGGAATCTTTAGCAAAGAGACAGAGCAGACATTTTTATCTCGCTGTACAAATCTGCACTCACATATCTAACTATGGGAAGTTACTGAAAACAGTATTGCTGAGAAAGTACAACTCTCTTACCATCCACACTGGTATGCCAGTGGAAAGTGACTTACTCCAACACAGCCAATTTTCCTAAGGGAAGGGGTTATGCCATACTAGCATGAGGGACCTTCACACTGATACCTTTCGGTATAGATACACTGATACAACTGTGTTGCTAGTAAGGAGTAAAGAGAAGATGTCATTGGTTTTCTAGAAATAAACCAAAAGCCCACACAGTAGCCTTCCTTTCTAGTTTCCAGATGAAAACTATGGCTCAAATGAACACATCAGTGTTGCTATGGGACTTGGCAGCTTCACAAGAGTTAAACACAAAGTAGTTGCCTCTCATGACATCTCCAGTTTTCAATCACCTTAACTTAAGATGGCCTGGATGTTCAGCAGAACCCAGACCTGACAGCCTCAAAGGAAACTCCTCATAAAAATGGGAGATTGCTGGAGCGGGTCAGACCCAGCAGGGAGGTCGTTCTGCTGTGGGCCTTTCGGGCAGGAGAGAACAGCCTCTGCAATGCAACGGGGCAGTTTGAGAACTGTTCTCTGGTGCTAAAAGGTAACAGCACCCCGATTCATCTGCACTGCTGTCAACCTCACAGGCTGAAGAACATCAAAGCAAGGAAAAGTACAATCTAAATGTTATTTTCATTTCTGAGCAATGGGTTACAAAGAAAAAGTGACACTCTTCGACCTGTAGTCTGAAAAAAATGAAGATACCAGCGTCACCAAGACCATGTCCCCTGCTCCCACCAAGACAGGCAGAGCTCCATGACACAACTTTGACTTCCAGTCTTATTATTATTACACCTGGCTAACTAAGTTACACTCAGTTCTTCAGACCTCAAGCATGCCTTTCCTTCCTCAGTGCCAGTAAAACGTGGGAAAAAAAAGTGCTGATACTTAGCTCCTGCAATAAAGTGCTGCTTTCTCCAAAGAAGTCGCTTCCTCTCACCTCTCTCTCACATTGCTCCTTCAGTAGCACCGTTCTCCTGCACAACACACCTATTCTTTGTACACAAGCAGTGCTTCCTCATAGTGGACTTGGACCTTTCTAGCAAAGAGCAAGATGCTGCACAAGTTTTCACACTCCATGTATAGGCCTAGGGACATTACAAAAGTCTTCCAGTCTCTTAACCATTCTCTCATGAACTCATTCACTGGAGGTCTTGCCTGTACACTACACAAGCTCTTGGGAAATAGATCCCTGCATGCTTTAGATGCAATTACTTTGAAATCTGGGGAAAAAAAGAATCTCATGGCGGGATTAGAAAAGGCAAAAGCTTATATTGCTCGAGATAGAGCTTGACAGATTCATGATGGAGGTTATGAGACATGCCTGCCCCCACTAACAAGGGTTGATTTGATATGCTGGGAAGTCCCTCTAGTCCTACCGTGTTAGTCCAACCTCTCAAACACACCCTTGGCTGCTGAAAGCAGCCTTCTGGGTGAAGTTGTTTTTCAAGACAACACTGTACAACAACTTGGTTCAGC